GACGATGCTGCTTCACATGGGCGTGAAGCACCACTAGTGGCACCTTGCTCTGCGTCAGGCCATCTAGGTGCGCAACTTCCTCAAACGGGTGTCTCTGCCTTTGGGGATGACGCTGCACGAGCTGTTGTTCAAGAAGAAACCGGACCTGACGCTGGCTCGCGTGTGCAGTTCATGGTCCCCGAGCAGCAGCGCGGCAGGAAGCTGGCGCCGAAGGCCCGGTGGGGCCTTCATCTCAGTGTGTCGCCGGAGAGCAAGGGCTGGGAAGTGCTCGACCTCAACGACAACAAACTGGTCATGACCGTAGAGGCCATCTTCTACGAGACAATGTTGCTGGAGGTGTGGAAGGCAGAGCACGGCCCACTTTTGACAAGGAAACCTGCTGTCGCGCCGACGGATCCCTCGTCGACGACGACCCCTTTGCTTGCCGTCGAAGATGACGACGTCGAGGACGTCCCTCCTCCCTCTGTTCCCACTTCTACCTCCCCTCTACCCCTTGCCGCTGATCTGCCGAAGACGGCGTCGCCGTCGGCCACCGGCGATGAGGGGAGCATTGCTGCGTCGCCTTCGGCGCCATCCAGTGGCTTCGCCGGCGGCCGACGTGACGAAATGCATCTCGACGGCCAAGTGCAGAAGCTGCTGAAGACAGGGGAGCGCCGGGCAGAGGGGTCAACAGCGGCGAAGTCTGTTGATGGGAATAGGGTGTTCGCCCCGCCCTTGCTTGGGCGAAGCCAACTTTGTGGTTGGGTGCGCGGGAGGTGCAGCCGACTGTTCTGCAGAGGTCGACGCCGGGCTGGAAGTGCAGGTCGACAGGGTGGTCGACTTACGACTGACCTTTGCGATGCCGCCGACGATGGGAGCCGGCAGTCGATTTCGACGGGGAGGTCGACGAAGGTGGTTGTCAATCGGCGCGGGTCTGTTGAGAAGCCTTCGACGGAGTGAGCTCGACAGCAGCAGCAGATTGTGCTGGTCGACGGAGAGGTCCGTCGACCAGTGGTCGACGGAGAGGTCCGTCGACCAGGGTGGTCTTCGACGGAAGAAGTCGTCGACGTGGGAGGTCGTCGACCAGGGCGCCGAGTGGTCGACCTGGTCGACCAGTTAACCTGCTCGGCGAGGTTCTGCAGAGGCTACTATCCCGAAGTCGATATTGCTGATCAGGCGCAGACAACAGCCGACGGACACGTGATAGTGCACGTCGAGCCAATCGTCTGCGAGCACCTGCGAGCATGTGCGTTGCTGTCATCTACGGGTGCAACGCTGGACGGCTGCCTTGCTGCAGCGTTGGCACGCCGTCGACCTGCTCTGTTGGCAGGCCGCCTTTCTGCAGCGCTGGCACGACTCCTCTACGCAACGCTAGCAGGCGGTCGACCATGCTGTGCTGGCGATCGACCTGCCTGGCTGCTAGGTTGCTAGGCTCTGATGTAGTCATTCTTGCCATTGCTTGTTCAATCATTCTGCAATGCAACTTTCCCTAGTGAAACTCTTGCCAAATTGCTCTATGAACGCACAAGTGCTAGAGAACGCTAAGGAACGCTACGATCACTCCTAGAATCCGTGCCTTCCTTTGTAGTCATGCTCCCGGTGTAGAATGTATCTCCGCAAAGTAGGTAGAGGAGAAGTCGGCAGAGGAGCCGACGGCGGAGGAGAAGTCGGCAGGGGAGCCGACTCTCGTGGACCACCTCGACGATGGCGCGTCCAGCGACGTTGTAGATGTCCTTGGTGGTGAGGAAGGGGAGCTGTCAGCAGGGGAGCAGTCCGACGACAGCGACGTGGTGGAAGTCCCGGTCGTAGAAGTGAAGCCATGGCGTTCTACCCGCTCCAACCTCGGCAAGCCCGCAGAGAAGCTGAGCTACCATGCATGTCTGCCGTCGACCTCCTACAGCACGCTGCTCGATGACGCAGAGGCCGATGTCGACCTGCCCGAGCACCCCTGGAGCACCGCTGGGACATTGCCAACATGACGGTGAAGGAGGCGTTGGCGAGCTGGAAGGGCAAGGGAGAGTGCGAGAGGAGAGTGCGAGAGTGCGAGAGGAGAGCTTGCTCGCTTTGGCATCACGAACAAGGGAGAGCACGCCCCAGACCCAAAACAGCGATGCATCGCCAACCTTCCCCGTCCACCGGAGTGTGGGCGAGGTCTCTGGCTCAGAGACATGGGGCCAGAGGTTGAGCTGATGCGCAGCGTATCGGACCGCAAACGGCCACATAAAATGGGGAGCAGCCGCATGGATCATGGAGGTACGAGCAACCTCCATGATCAAGCCAATGCGACGCTCAGCAATCCCATTCTGCTGAGGAGAGGCCGGAAGCGTGAACGTCTGGCGAATACCCTCGTCTCGACAAAACTCCTCAAGGAGGCCGGAAGAGAACTCACCGCCCCTGTCAGAGTGCAGACGCAGGACTGGCAAGTCCCGACGAAACCGCTCGCGTAGCTGGCGACGAGTAGCACGGATCCAGGGGATCAAAACACCGCTGACGTCCGCCTTGCGCCGCAAGGGGAAGACAGTGGTGTAGCGTGTGTAGTCGTCAACAACCAGCATGAAGTAGCGCTCCTGGTCCGTTCCACCGACGGGGGCCGGGCCCCACACGTCCATGTGGAGAGTCTGCAGAGGAGCAGTGGTCGGAGGAAACTCGGAGGAGTGAGGAGCGGCGCGCTGCCGCACCTCGACGCAGGGAAGGCACGGCAATGCAGGCGAGCGCGGGAGGGAGGGCAGGGACCTGGGAAGGCCAGAGACAAGGAGACGGGAGTGCATGCTGCAAAGACGCGGCAGCGAGGGGTGACCTAGGCGGTGGTGCCAGAGGAGAGTCTGGTGAGAGAGTACCCGACACAAGCAAGACGATGTAAGCTGACCAGACGCAGACACCCGACTCGACGCAACCACCTGACCTGACTCAGCCACTTGTCCAGACGCAGTGGTCAGGGTGTACAGATCGGACCCAGGCTGACGAGTGAACGTAGCAAGGTGACGGCCAGTCCGTGAGCACTTACAGATCGCCACACGCTGTCCTCCAGGAATGAAGGTGTCAACCCATACATCCTTGAGAACTGCGTTGCTCAACAAGTTCGTCGAGAACGCGGGGAGGTGGAGACCTGAGAGAGACCCGGAGGGGACTGCCGGACACGAGAGGACAGTGGAGGCTCGCGCAACTACTGGGCCCCCAGTGGGGTCAGCCAGTGAGACTGAGACAGGTGCTGCGAGTGGTGTGACTGTGGTCCAATCACGAAAGAAGCAACGTGACGCGCGTAAGTCAAGCGTGAAAGTGTGCAAGGCCTCAGCTGGGGCAAGACCTGTGGCAGTAGACGCACTAGCACCTAGAGCGTCGGCAGACTCACGAGCACCTAGAGCTGCAGCAGACTCACCAGCACCTGGAGTGGCAGCAGACTCACTAGAACCGAGAGCAGCAACCTCTACACAACCTAGACGCATCACTGAGAAGCACAGTCGCGAGGTCGCTGAGGCCACATAAAACCAAAACCTCCACCAGCAGGACTGCCTCGCTGAATAACCCACTCACGAAGCTGCTGAGGGGTGGGGTCGTCCGGGAGAGGCAGTGACCGCTGCTGTCCACCCCTAGCCGCTGCAACTGCCGTGATAGTGGCCATGACAGGCAGTGACGGTCAGTAGTAGGTCCAGCACCTCCAGCACCAGCAGCACCTCCAGTACTCCCAGCCGCACCTCCAGCACCTCCAGCACCAGCAGCACCTCCAGCACTCCCAGCATCACCTCCAGCACTCCCAGCAGCACCTCCACCAGCAGCAGCAGCAGTAGTACCAGCAGGGCGGCTCGGTGGGGCTGGGCGGCGGCACCTCCAGCACTCCCAGCAGCACCTCCACCAGCAGCAGCAGTAGCACGAGCAGCAGCAGCAGCAGTAGTAGCAGCAGGGTGGCTCGGGTTGGGCAGGACGGCTCGGGCTGGGCGGCGCGGCTCGGCCTGGGCGGCACGGGCAGCAGGGCGCATGCTGTGCAGGGCAGCAGGGCGCGACGCACGGGCTGCAGCAGGGCGCGACGCGCGGGTCAGCAGAGCGTGACGCGCGGGCTGCAGCAGGGCGCGACGCGCGGGGCAGCAGAGCGCGACGCGCGGGCTGCAGGAGGGCGCGACGCGCGGGCTGCAGCAGGGCGCGACGCGCGGGCTGCAGCAGGGCGCGACGCGCAGGGCAGTAGGGCGCGAACCCTGCAGACGCAACCCTGCAGACGGGGCGCGCTGGGGCAGGAGCTGCTCGCGGGCAGAAGGGGCGCGCAGGGCAGGGGCTGCTCGCGGGCAGCGGGGGCGCTCGGGGCAGGGGCTGCTCACAGGCAGCAGTGGCGCGCGGGGCAGGGGCTGCTCGCAAGCAGCAGGGGCGCGCTTGACAGTAGGGCAGCGCGCTAGGGCAGGCAGTACGAGTAGCTGCAGGGCAGCGTGACACTGTGCGAGAGGGCCGGACAGCGCAAGGGCGCTTCGGGCAGGAACTAGTAAAACGATCGGTGGACCCTAAAAACTTACGGTAACAGGTTACCATGTCAGAATAACTGTGCAGGAATGATTGGATTAGCAAGAGTTGGGGTACAAGTACTAACCCTAGAAGTGTTGTACCCCATAAGGAGTGCTCCACTATAGCCTAAAAGTAAGATTGTACTTTGACACTGACCAATGTATCGCATTGTTACAGTCACTTACGGTACCTATGTCGAGTCTAGATTCAATCTCTCTACTGACAAAGTCAGTGCCTGATCACAAGCATCTTCCGCTGCTACACTCGTGAGATCAACCTCAGACGATCCTATAAGTCTTCCTCCAGATTGTACTACTGAGTAGCACCATAGCAACAGGGCATCTATTGGCTCCAAGGCTGCTCTATTCAGGAGCACATAGAGACCAAGTATTTTATTGCCCTACCCCAATCAGATTTAGACATGGAAGCACTACATATCCTACAGCACATGTTCCCCATGAAAAAACACAATGCACTCTACCCAGTATGTACTGAACATAAGAACCTCTCCATCTACACCCTGCTTCACAGCGTAGTCACCTGCCTTCCTTGCTCAACCGTGTCTCATACATGACACTCCCATCCACCCCCACAAATGACAGTCGCACCTCCCCTGCATCCACCTCCACTGCGACAAATCCCTGGCCTGGCCAGAAGTATTGCAACCCTGGTGCTGCGTCTGCTGCAGGTGGCGCCTCCCTCCATGCCTTGCTGCCGCCACCACTTGTCACATAATTCACGGAGCTGCAGGGCAGGATGGGGGAAACACGGGTGCAATTGGAAAGGGGAGGGGGGGTAGGGATAGGGGGGGATGTAGATAAGAAGTCATGATGACTCGAGGGGAACAAGGATGGTGGATGATTCCAATGAAAATTGCATTGGGGTACTGGGGTGCAGTGCAGTGCAGGTCAGAGCACAGAGCATAGTGCACACATACATGATGTATGTACTGGAGGACATGATGAAGGCACATACATGATGTATGTACTGGAGGACATGATGAAGGCACATACATGATGTATGTACCAGAGGACACGATGAAAGGCACATTACCTGTCGTCTCTGTGGATATGCTGCAGGTTGTGGTCATGGCCGTTCATGTACAGCTGCACCTTGTGTTGCTGGTGGGTGGGTGGGCAGCACAACACAACACAACACACAAGCGAGAGAATGCAATCCAGAGGGGAAGGGAAGGGAGTGGGGTAGGTAGAGGCAGAAGAGGATCAGGAATTATGAAGCGCAAGAGACAAGGCGATGAATCTCAAGGCGGCGCTCAGCAACGGTAATATGCTACTCCCATCCCAGTTGCAGGGAGTATCATGTGCCAAGCAAGCCCGGTCTGGCAGCAAGAGCTTCAGAGAGGTTACAGTTCAGTTCAGCAGCTCCTACTGGTTGCCACAGCAGCTGTTATCACCCCTCTCCCCGTCTCCTCCCCGCCCCTTCCTGCCCCCTCCCGATCCCTCTCTCCTACCTCTGCCTGTGCGAATATCACCTGAAGCAGCGGGAGGGAAAAATCTATGGTAAAACAAGACGACCACCTGGTAATCCCCACCCCACTCCCTGACTCACTCAATCACCCGGACCACATGCATGCACCCAACTCGAGGAAACGCTTGTGCCGTTAACCAGTACCAGTACCCTAGTCAAGGATTCACATGCACGTCGGGCTCTGGCAGCAACTTCACAGACTATAAGAGCTCCTACTGGTTCTTTACACAAGTGACAGATTCGCTTTTTATCCCCCACTCGTGGTTCACCTAGACAGCACAGCACAGCACACCACAGCACAGCAAAGCACAGCACAGCACAGCACAGCAAAGCACCTCAAACCACCACACCGCACAACACAGCACTGCACTGCACAGCACTGCACTGCACAACACAGCACAGCACAGCACAGCACAGCACAGCACAGCACAGCACAGCACAGCACAACACAGCACAGCACAGCACAGCACAGCACAGCACAGCACAGCACAGCACAGCACAGCACAGCACAGCACAGCACAGCACAGCACAGCACAGCGCGGCGCAGCACAGCACAGCACAGCGCAGCGCTCACCTCCAGCAGCGGCTTCACAGCCTCAACGAGCTCCTGCTGGTTGCCATGGTCGCCAAAGCTGTACACCGGGTGGTGCCCAATCACCACCTTCCACGTGGCCTGGGAGTTGCTCAGCCATCCCTCCAGCTCCTGCCAGAGGGTAGGGATGGGAGTATGGGGAAGAGAAGAAAGGATGGGTGAGATGGGCGGAGTGAGGCAGAAAATGGTACGAGCGAAGTGAAGAGGGGAGAGATACGAACAGACACTGCTACGAGCCCACTAGGCACAAGGTGGTATGACCAAACCGATCGACCACTGTCTCGCTGCCTCACTGTCACACTGTAACACAGTAACACAGTAACACAGTAACAACACAGCGAGTTTGCCCCTCTCACCTTGAGCTGAGCGTGCTCCTGCTTGGTCCAGTTGTTAGCGTTGAGCCCGCGCCAGTCCAGCGAACGGTGCGGTTCAGAGCGGTACTCGCGCACGAGGGGAGTGGTGTCATACAGAAAGATATCCAGCAGGTCCGTGCAGGAAACACCTGGGGGATTAAAGGATACAATGGACGGTGGAGAATGGGAGAGACGGGGAAGGAAAGAGCAGTGAAGGTTGACTTCTCAGAGTAGCCTTCAAATTCTGCAGTCAGGTCAGGCAGGAGGATTCCCAATGCTGAATTGGAGAAGTGTGCATCATGCGGCTATTGTGTTGTGCAGCTCCCCAGCATCACACTCGATCCCTGTCCGCAACTGCCACTTTCGACCTCTTTCCACACACATTCGACACTCTTTTTCCAAGAGTAATGCTCCCCACGAAATTAACATGACCCACCTTTAGAGTAAGAAACAACTTTCTAGTTAAGACTCTCACTTTTTAAGCTCACCCACACCTTAACGAGTCCCCAAACTCGAAACCAAACGTGAGAGTCGTTTCGCGGCGAATACCTTGCGCGTTGCTGCAGAGCGGCAGAGAGAGCACCATACTGCGGCGGCACACCCAGCGCGGGTCGCGGGCCGTGAGGTGCGGGTGCAGCTGCGCGAGCGCGTTGCCGTAGTAGTCATGGTTGCCCAGCACTGCACGCACAGCAACGCACAGCAACGCACACAGAGACGCAGACGGCAACACACAGGAGACTCACGCGTTGAGGAAGTAGTTATGGCCAGACGCGCAACGAACAAAGGCAAGGGCATACAAACGCATTGCGGAAGGCGCGGGGAGGCGCTTTTGTACATGTGAGGTGAAACTCGCAGATTCAAGAACTCACCGGAATACCAGGGAACCTGCAGCGACGCCTGCGAGTACACGTTCGTGAACGACGTGGTGAATTGCTGCGCTGCCACGTCAGCTATGCCGGAATCGTAGAAGTTGTCGCCCGTGGAGATGACGAATTGCGGCGCCATGTCAGCCGCGACTCGTGCCATCTGGCAGGACACGTGGCAAACGGGATACGCGATCAGCAGAGCGGCGATCGTAGCGAAAAAGGGAGCGGGATAGAGGAAGGAGGATGGGGGCTATGCGAAACGAGAGCGAGGACCAGGTGGGTAACGGTAACAACATCTACATCGAGCCGTTTTTGCTAACAACAAAATCAAGTCGAACGACATATGTAAGCCGCGTCCCCACACCGAACACCCAACTGCCTTGAATTCGCTAGCGGCTGTGCTGGCATCACCCGTAAACACGCCACCCTAGCCACTGCGTATGCACCTGTTCTGCCACTAGCGACTGGTTGTACTCTCCGTCGCGACCCCAGTCGCCAAGCACCATGAACCGCGCAGCAGCAGAGTTGGTAAACGACGATCCGCCAATCGCGCCGCTTGATCCGGCGGACGACGCGTCGCCCGAGGAGTCGGCGACGGAATCGCCGTGGATGCACGTCCAGAGCAGGATCGCCAGCGACACACACGTTGCGACGATGAGCGCTCTGCTGACGAGCCGGCGACGGGTCTCGAGAATGTGGCTCAAGTTGCTGGGATCGTGGACATGAGGCTTCCCGTGTGCCTGTGGCGGGGATATCTAGCAAACGAGACAATTGACGAAAAAATGTAGGTAGGACGTTAATCAGGGTCAGGAATGGATGCAAAGCTGAAACCTGCGCGAGAATTCGTACATGTGTGCAAGCTCGAATGACTAGTCGTGATTCTTGATTCGTACATGTGGGCTGCGGATACTGGGTTAAAGTAGAGATGAGGAAATCACGAGTCGTGATTCTTGATTCGCGACACGCGGAAGGTAAAGGACGCGAAAGACGGAATGCGTACTGGTTCCGTGCACTGAGTGCAGCTTATAACGTACCTCTTGCGCCAAAAGCGGCGACGTCGCGACTGGGATAGTCACGCTGTGTGATTCAGCCTCCAAGCGCTTTTCCATCTCACCCGTAGCTCCCGTCATTTCGGAATCAAACTAGGACGAATCCGCCGGCACAATTAGCAAAAACGTTTCGATGTCAAGACGGGAAATCCAGCGTTTTTCACAGAGACGAAACCGCACAGGATGGACAAACGGCGACTGACGCGTGCCTTGTGAACGAATGGCGTTGGAAAAACGAACAACAGAGAATAATCGCAAAAGCAACTGGAGCTTGGAGCTGGTTCTGGTGTCCTTTCGTGTTCAAACCTGTGCTTGTGAAAGAGGATGAGCAGGCAGGCATTCGGAAAGGCACGAAAGAAGGACGAGAGTGGCAAGGAGGGAGGGAGGAAAGAAAGTCAGGGAGGAAGGGAGGCTTGCTGTGGTCCCTTGGGAACTGGCGGCAGACGCTTGGCTGTGGTTGGCCGAGGGGTTTTAAGTTTTATTGATAGGTCGTAACCCATGCATACAGTGTTGGAACAAGAGTGAGTAACCTCAAACCTAAAAGGCTTGCGCCAGACGGCGCATTCTTGCCCTGCCTAGCAAGCAAGTGCAGTATAAACTACACTGGTCCAACACCTCCGTATGTAGAGAGGGCCTCTTTATGGAGGATGAAAATTTTCGCGTCGAAACCATGACTTGCGTAAATCAGGGTGGAGCGATGGAATGCCCGCCGTGTCAAACTGTAGTAGGCGTCGTTTGATACCTAGCCTGAATCTCGATGCGCTTTTCTTCTGCTTTTTCGCTGAGGCCTTGGACCGTCGTATGAAGAAAATTTTGCACGCCAGAAGGAAGGCGGCGAGTACCGTGTGAAGCGTTTGCGGCTCGGGGACCTCAATCTGGTGGTGCACCGCGTCACATCGTTCGTTCCATAGAACTTTAGCAGCTGCCCCCACGAGTAGGCTCCAGGGCGCGACCTGGCCGGCGGGAGTGGGCGGCGGAAAGAGCGCAAGCTCAGCCGGAAGCGTGATGCCGAGGTGCTCGCGGGCGGAATGCTGAAGAGCCGTGATGACCGCGGGGGCGTTCCCGCAGTCGTTAAAGATGTGAGTGAGTGTCTCAGGCGTCCCGTCGTTACATCGCGCACAGTTCCGCCCGAGTGGGGTAAAAGGTACCCTTGTCCCGCATGGTAGCGAACGGATGTAGAGCCGATACAGCACGTCCTTTTGTCGGCTTGGTTGTTCGGTGAGGAAGGGATGTGTAAGTGACGGAAGGGACTCGAGTGCTGTCGGCAGGAGCTCATTCCACCGATCAACATGCGTCAGTGTCTTCCTGGTGTAGAGGAGGTTCCGAATGGATGCTAGGGACGAACAGTGGTGCAGAAATTCAAGCCTGCTGCCCAGGCCAGCACCAGAGCAGAAGGTGCCCGCCAACCAGCCGTTGCGAACGAAAACAGGGATGACCTCGTTGATAGGGAGGATGCAGGTTCCTGAAGGGTGCTCGGCAATCCTCATGTTGTTGACGTAAAAGCAGTTGAAACGCGCCGTGTTGTTGGAGAAGACCGCCTTCGTCTGTAGCACCTGTGACGCCCCGTGTCTGTGGGAAGCCCGAATGGCCCACTCCCCAGCCCCTAGATAGTTAGGAGGTGGTGAGAAGGCGTCGAGGACGGGCCACCAAGCCTTGGGAACCGCGTGATAAATGTCCAGGATGACCCTGAGCGCGCCGGGGAATTCTTTTGGTGGGAACCTGGCTTTGATTTCGTCCTCTTGGAGTTTACGCGATCCTGCAGGCGTGGGAGCGAGGATGTCACCTAGGCGCAGTTCCTTGGTGAGTAGGAATTTCTCGCCTTTGATGCGTCCGAAGGGGCGTTTATGAGGCCGCACAATCTCGCGGTTGAAAGCGAGGGGTTCGGCCATGAGCACCCATGGTTCGAGCCTTGGAGGGTGAACCGCCGTTGGGAGCTTCAGGGTAGCAGTGAGTTCTGCCACTGCGCGCGCCGGCGTGCTGTCAGGTAGGAATTTGAGGATGTCTTTATGTGCTAGGAAGCAGTGCAATCCGTACGGTAAAGAACAGCAGGACCTGGCGATTTCTTCCATGGGAGTTGGGAGGAACCGTCTTGCAGCGCGTTGCACATCAAGCGCCTGCAGATACTTGGAAGGCTCAATTGCCCCGACTCCCCCATGACGGCGTTTGTTGTATAGGTAGTCTTTGGGGACGAGCCGCGTCCCACGGCCTTGCGCGCGGTATTTGGAGGTGGACAAGAGGTTCCCAACTGTGATGTCAATTTGTTTTGTGATCCCCTCGGGGGGTGGCTGTGTGGTTGGCCGAGGGGAAATGACCTGGGGACGCCCCGTGTGCTCGGCCAATCCAGCCTCTCCGCTTGTGTCAAGTGTGGACGGGGAGGAGGAGGTACGTTTCGGGGTGAAGTTTGGTTTGGCTCGGCAATTCTTGTGGTCAAGTCTGGATGGCATGGCTGACGACCGAAATCTGGTAGGTGGGAGGGAGAGCTCACCTGGTGACCCGGGTGAAATTAAGGCGAGTCGGCTCTGAAGATATTGGTCGAATGTGGACAGAACCTTTTCGAGGGTCAAGCAAAACAGCAGGATGACATGCCGCTCGTCTGAAGGAATCTTTGGCACCGTCATCTCACTGACGGAATCAAACAGTGAACGCTGAGATGACGAGTCACGCTCGTTTCAAGGACGACAGCCCTGGGTTTTGCTGTGGTCTAGTTTGGCACTTGGAAGACCTCGATACGGTAACATTGACATGCCTTGAATTGTCCCTCGGAGCATCAACCCGATATCACTTTGAGGTGCGCCAAACTAATCGAAGTGTACGTATCTACAATATGTCTCACAAAATTACAATAGTTATTTGTGCAATGGAACTAGCAATCTAGGATTGTCAAACAAACAACAATGTGTGAGCGAGGACGTGAGAGAACATTTAATCGAAAATACATTAACGTAACGCATGATGTCGGAATAACCGAAATGCTACTTAAGCATTCCTAAGTTATGGGAACAGCGCATCTGCCCGTACAGATGATGCGCTCTTACAAATGTCACGTCACACTCGTATAGAGAATGCGATAGTAGGGAGATGGAAAGTCAATAGTCAGAATTCAACTGCACCAACTGATGTCTGACCGGGTTCAGAGGTTACGCGCTGCACCTTGTAGCCGCTACGCACCGCTATGATTGATGTTGCGGCTTCATCCTCAGGGGAGGCGAAGCTCATGCCTCCGTGGGCGTAGACCCATGCCGCTCCTGCTTGTTCTCGGCGCGGTATCTGGCGAAGGTGAGGCGTTCGTAGAACATAACGTCTCGTGCAGGTGCGATTTTGTTGGTCTGCATATCCATGATGAGCCACCCCCGTAGCTGATGCTTAGGTGGATTCTCCAGCGCGCGAGGTCGGTGAATTTTCTGATGGCGGCGGACGTGGGCATGTACTGGACCATGCACCCCCACACTCACAGCATCGAGGTGCCGCCCTTCTTCTCGGACCTCGGTCCACTTCACGTGAGGTTTTTTGTACCGGTTGGTGCTGGGTTCAAGTGAGGGAAAAGGCTGGTGCGTCGGTGCAGGTGTGGGGCAGACGGTGCATGTGTGCGGCAGTGTGGTGCTTTGCAGTTCGGATCGGTCAGGTCGCAGTACGGCTCCAGGTGCGAATACTTCAGCGGTGATGCAATTGTTGAGTGTCTGTCGTGAGGGGTGACCAGAGCACTGATACCAACGGTCATCAGTTGCGCGGACTCCAGGTGTGCGTAGGTATCGTGCGCGGATGAACCAGAGTACGAGGTGGAACGTGTCCTCGCTCATTGACGCAGACGCAGCAACACGCTCGAGTTCCTGATTCGCTGGAAGGGCTATGACCCATCGGAGGACAGACGGGTTACAGAAGCTGATATGGGCAACGCACGCCGTGCTATCAAGGATTATCTTGCCAAGCAGGGTGTTTCTCATGCCACCCAGCAATGAGGGGGGGACGTGTGAGAGTACAGCGGCTATGCTTACCCATTCTTGCTTATTTATATCTTCCTATGCTCATTTGTGCTAGTTTTCCTAGTTTCGATGCTTTATTATGGTTAATTAGGTTACGTGCACCGAATTCTGTTTCATTTCGGTTATTCCAG